CTGCTGAAGGTACTTGGCTTTCTCTCTCCATCTGTCACTCACTCCCATGAAGAAAATTAAAAAAGGGGAAAAAAAGGAAGTGAAAACCTTCATGAGGAATTGAAAGATAAAATTCAGGAAATCGTGCTGAAAGTACAACAAAAAGAAAAGAAGATATGAAATGTTAAAAAAAAAAAAGATTTAAAAAACTATACACTCTATGATGTTGAGCAGCCAAATAATGAATTTTCAAAAAGAGAAAAACACAGAAGTTAACAATAAAATAATTTTAGAAAAATTCCCAGAACTGAAAAACACAAATTTCCAAACTGAAAGAGTCGATCATAGTAATTTAACATTGTCTTATGCCAAAGCATATGATTCTAAAATTTAAAACTGTGAGTAGAAAGTGGAAATTTTCAGGCTTCCAGAAGTGGAAGTGGGGGGTGGGGAGGAACGAGACACAAAAAAGAGGAACAGGAATTTTGCTTTGAATTACTCAACAGAAACACAGTTATGCTAGAGGACAGTACATCAGAGCTTTAAAAATTCTGGCCCAGGGTGCCCACATGCATGTATGCCCAAAGTCCCAGGGGGAGAATGGAGGAGAAGGGATTGAGACTATCTTCCCCAAGGGAGTGATTTCTCACTTTGCCTCTCTCTCTCTCTCTCTCTCTCTAGGAAACAACTGTGTCCTATGACAAAAACCTACACAAAAAAATAAAGAAAGAAAGAAGAAGAAGAAGAAAATTCTGGCCTAGCTTTTAAAAAAAAAAAATTGGGACCAGCAGTTAGCATAATGGCTATGTTGCTGGACTCCCATGTAGTCAACCGCAGTTCGGGTCCCCGCCCCGGTGGCTTAAACTCATGCCAGGTGCATGTGTGTGTGTGTGCCAAAGATCCTGAGAGGAAAATGGAGGAGAAAGGATTCCAGTGTGGCCATCCCTGCTGGGGGTGATTCCTTACTTTCTATCTCTCTTTCTTTCTCTGACTTTCTGGTGAGCACATGCAGCCTATAGCAAAAACCTCTCCAAAAAAAAAAAAAAAAATTTTTTAAATTTTTTTTTTTTTTTTTTTTTAATCAGAGAGGCACAGAGCAAGAGAAAGAGAGAGAGGGAAAGCAAGAAAGCAAGCTGCCAGGTCTGGGACTCAAACTGTAGTCAGCCATGTGGGAGTCCAGCACCCTTAACCACCATGCCACCTGCCAGCCCCCTGGCCTAGCTTCTGTAGCACATACTGGTTGATCCTGCTAGTTGGCAGGCTGAGTTCACAAGGGAGGCCCAGATTTAACTCCTTGCCAACTCTAAAAGCTAGGAGCAGGGGCATACACCTGTAGTCCCAGCTACTTCAGAAGGTAAGGCAGGAGGATTGCAATCTAGCAAGACTCTGTCAAAAAAATAAAGAAGGAAAAGAAAGGGGGAAGCAGATGGCATAGTGTACATCGCTGGACTCCCACATGGCCAACCGCAGTTTGAGCCATGAACCCAGTGGCTTGAAAATCACACAGGACACATGTGCATGTGTGCTTAAAATCCTGGGAGGAGAATGAAGAAGGGACTGTGGCATGGCCATCCCTCTTGGGGTGTGATTTCTCACTTTCCCTCTCACAGTCTCTGACTCTCTATCTCCCCTAGCGAGTGCATGCACTCTAAGGCAAAAATAAACCAACCAACCAACCAACCAACCAACCAACCAACCAACCAACCAAAGAACTCTTAAAAAAAATTCCAGGGCTGGCAAGTGGCATGGTGGTTTAGACACTGGACTCTCACATGGCCAACTGTGATTCAAGTCCCAGACCTGGCAGCTTGCTTTCTCACTTTCCCTCTTTCTCTTTCTGTCTCTCTCTGGTCAAATAAATAATAATGATGATAATGAATAAAATTAAATAAATAATTCTTTTTTAAAAATTCCAAAGTTAAATTGCTCTCAAAGGAGAACTCTGTTCAGTCAAATGATCAAACTAGCTTGATTAATATATAAAGACTAGCAAAGTGTTAAATTACTTTCCAGGGTCAGCCAGGTGGTGCGGAGGTTAAGATGGCTGGATCCTACGTGGATGACAGTGTAGTTTGAGTCCCAGACGCTGTAATTAGAAAAACACTCTGCGCACATGTGCGCGTGTGCGCAGGATCTTGAGAAGAGAACAGAAGGAGGGGATTGCTGCATGGCCATTTTCTCTGGGTTCTTTCTCACTTTCTCTACCTCTCTCTCTGTCTCCATCAGTTTCTGGCAAATACATACGTCCTATAGCAAAAATAAAGGAATGAAAGAAAGAAAAAAATATTTTTTTAATTACTTTCATATGCCCTTCCTGAAGAAACTACAAGAGGATAATATATGCAACCAAAATGAGGAAAACTAAGAAACAGGATGATATAACAAAAATAGGAACCAAGAAGGGAGCCAAGAGAATACCCAAGATGATAGGGAAGGAAAACTGCAAGGTGAGAACCAGATGTCCAGGGTAGAAGGCAACTGGTCCAGCTTAGGAGAGGTATAACTAAGGTGCAGGCATATTGGGGATGCCATCTTCTGTTTTTAAGTGGAGGACAGAATTTCATCTGGATTTGGCTTCTTGGTAATACTCGTCCCTTCTCTTCACATGCCTGTATGTCTGAGAATCCTCATTTTACCTCTCAGAAATGTTCTGCTTTGATCTACTCTGGGCCCCGGATGCAGTCAAGAAAAAACCAAACAGATCGGGAAAAGTGACCTTAATATAGACAAAGGGATAATGAAGTTACCTTACCTTAGGAAAATGATACCTTGGGACCAGCAGGTGACATGGTGGTTAAGGCACTAGAGTCCCACATGGCTGACCACAGTTTGAGTCTGGACCTGGTGGCTTGAAAATCATGCCAGGCAAGTGTACATGCCTGCCCAAAATCACAGGGAGAGATCGGAGGAGAAGGGATTGCGGTGTGGCCATTCTTGCCAGGAGGCCATTTCTCACTTTCCCTCTCAATGTTTCTCCATCTCTCTGCAGCGAGCATATACAGCCAATGGCAAACACTGCCTCCCCCACCCCCCCCCCCAAACAAAAAGCCCCCGCCCCCCCCCCCCAAAAAAAAGCCAAAAGAAAATCATTCCTTAATGGAAATTTTTGGGTGATCCCAGGGACTTGACAAGTAAATGCCATTATAAGGTTGGGTGATCTCATCACAGAGTATCTACATAAATTCAGAATGCCTAGTTACTTCTGGCCTAGATTGATCTGAGCCTCCCTCAGTTTGGCCCCACTATCAGGGTTTCCACAGCAACTGACTCACTGTCCAAGTTTTGACTCCAGCATCCTTCAGGATACCACATTGATCTTCACTCTGCCTTGACCCAGTGCTACTGTACTATGACTTCCCAAATGAGAGTTACTTCTAGTCCATTTACATTGGGTATCTGCTGGCAAAGCAAAGAGGAAGACAGCAACCATTCTTGCCTTTGAAGAATTTCCAGTTTCAACAAAACAGGGACTTTCTCCATGGAACATTGCTAATTGCCTTAGTAAAGGAGTAATTTGGTAGAGCTCTAATCTCCATTAACTGGGACTCTGCAGACACTACTGTGACTCTGTAGTCAACACTTGTGACTTCCACTTGCCGGGACCTGCTGACTGAACACGTTTTTCTGAGTGGGTAAGGGCTGTGTATTAGAAATAAATCCAACAGGGACCAGCAGTTGGCATAATGGCTGTGTTGCTGGACTCCTATGTAGTCGACAACTGTTTGAGTCCTGGACCCAGTGGCTTAAACTCACACCGGATGTGTGTACGTGCATGCCCAAGATCCTGAGAAGAAAATGGAGGAGAAGGGATTGCGGTGCGGCCATCCACCCAGGGGGTGATTTCTTGCTTTCTGTCTCTCTGTCTGTCTCTATCTTTCTGGCAAGCACACGCACCCTATAGTAAACCCCTCCCCCCCCCCGCTAAAAAAAGAGAAAAAAGAAAAATAAATGCAACAACAAAGACACATAAGTATAGAAAAGTGGGCATCGGGTGGGCCCAGCTTCTCTGAATGAGAAAAGCCATGACCAGAAACCAGCCTCAGGTTTATTCTTTTAAAGGGCAGAAAATGAGGGAAGAAGAAATAGAATGCAAAAGCCAGTTAGTTGCTTTAGGATGTAAATCATCAGAAGATACAAAAATGAGCGGTGCCATGTAATTTCTCCAATCTTTTTGGGGCAAAATCTGATAAACACATGTGGCTTTCTTTGGCCTGATACTGCCTTGTGGTATCGGGTATGGACAACAACAGGAAGATAATTGACAACAGGCAGATAGCATTTTCGTATGCAAATACTCTCATAGCCATTGCTAATGAAGCTCACAGAAGGAAGCGTGTTTCTGCATGCAT